GGCAGCTCAACATGCCTGACCCAATTTGTACCTCACTGCCAGAGCGAGGGCACCAACTACACCTGCCGGCCTTTACGCCCACCAGCCTCAGCTCCCAACATTCCCTTCACTCCACTGCTCCTACCTGGCCGCAGCTATGTGTTTTCCAAGGTGTTCAGAGGCAGCGCCAAATGTGCGAGGCGCGGTCCTTGGAGATGCAAGATGGGGGGAATGATGAGCTTGCACGAGGGGGCATGGCACGACGACGCTCTGTCGCGTCGGCCGAACGATGTTGGTCGGAGTAGCTTCAGCCTCGCCATTGTTGCATTGTGTGTACTGCAGACAATATGGTTTGCCTTCAAAGCCATGCTTGTCAATCAATTGTGCCTGTTTTTTGGAACGACGCCACCCGGCAACCTGCCCGCTCATGATGATGACACGTATCCTATTTTGGCCGTGTGCAGCGATCTGGGAGGCGATTGCCCACGAAGCTGGGCACACATTCGGCCTGCGGTGGGTGCAAAATCTGGAATGTCTAGGCTGCGTGCTGTCCTCCCCTGCTTCTCCCTGTCTGCTGCCTACAACCTTCTCCCTTGCTGGCCCGTGCATCCACTTCCGTCCAACCTTGCCTCATACCACCTGTGAACCCCCGCCCCCTTGAGCGTATGCAGCCACCATGGGCGAATTGCAAGCGACACCAATGAAGCTGAGGAGTATTACCAGGTGAGTTGGGGCTCAAACGCCATCATCCGTCGTATCAGTGGCACGTTCATCTGCCTGTTTTTTAGTTTCTGGGGCACCTGCCCTGAACCCAGCAGTGCTTGTGCGGTCGCGTGCTGGGGCCCCATCTCAGGGCGCCTTGCCGACCTGGCAGCTGTTGCTGTGGCTGTTGCGCGCAGAGGGTTGCCGTTTCTGCGCAAACACACAATCTGCACGTGCGCTGTCGCTTGCCATCAAGTATCCTGCCTGTGTACTACAAATCTCCTTCCATTACGTACATGGCGTTTTTGCCCGTTACACGTCATCCTCACTGCATGCATGCAGGGCCATGCTAGTGAGTACAGGATACAATGACAGAATGCTTGTAATGTCTTACTGCCCCTGCGTCCATCCTGCAATGAGACCGGCGGCCCCTCGTTGGCAACAGCGGTGCATGTATGAGTACCTTGGGGTTCCAGAGCGCGATACATAGCCACTGCTGCTTAGGTATGTAAGCACGGTAATGGAAACGCCAGCCGTCTAACCAAACCGTCCCCTCCGTGCCCTTCTTGCCCAGCTTGGGGACCCATCATGGGCGGCTCGTGAGCTCTGTGTGTGTGTGTGTCTTAATGTTTGTGGGTGTGGCTGTGCTTGTGCATGTGCGTGCGTGTGCATGCGATTTTGTGTGTGTGAAAGAGATAGAGTGTGTGTGCGTGCAATTGCGTGTCTATGAGTAAGAACACTGCATGCTCATGTCACTCCGCTTATGGGAGCCAGGGGCCAACTTCTGCTTGTGCAGAAGTCGCAGTAGCAACATCACACATTCATGCGTGACCCCCTTCTCATAACCAACCTCCCATCTGCTGGCCTGTTTTCCCCCTGCACCCAACAGAAAGTCTAGGAACGTGTCACAGTGGAGCCGCGGCGAGTGAGCAAAGGCAATCCCATCAGTAGGGGCTGCACTTTGCTTGGGTGTGGGGCGGGAAGGTTCGGTTCAGGTGGTTGTGGGGGGGC